TTTCACTATAAAGTAGTCAGAAAATGTTAATAAATAATTTTATAAAAAAAATGATATAAATGCATGTACATGTGCACATCGTAAATAAAATTTACAAAAATGATATTAATAAAACATTGTCATTATTAAATAAATACCCTTAATTCTTATATATAAATTATTTGATAAAGCATTGACATAAAAAATTTGAAAATTGATATAAAACTCTAAAATTACATGGCCAATGCTAACCACTTAAATTTGAAATCAGTAAATGTCAGGGTTAAATTTTCTTTATGCATCCACGGTAAGATTGAATATTCTTTTGATAGAAATAGTGAAAGGCGATGTGGACACAACTCTCCTTGGCCTATTGGTTGAGAGCTTAGACTTCCAGTAAAATAAAAAAGGATAAAAATATTCATTCCATGAAGATAAATGACTCGGCCTTAAATATATATATGATCATCGGCTTTAACATAAAACTCAGAATCAAATAACGGCTAATCAGGTCCACCGCAACCAGAGGCACCGGCTACCACTGAAAGGTATCGATTTTCATTTCATCTAGCATTCAGTTGTGAATCGAAAGAAAATTAACATGATTTACTTGGAAGTTTAATACCAAACTTATTAAACCTTTTCGAATTCCGTCAAGATGTGTAAGGTTTTCTACTTTTTTGGCACTTTTTTTTGCAAAAATTTTGGGTTATGGTATAGGGAATCGTAGATATATTTGATTTGCAGGAGTCACGGGGTGGCGATGCTCATGCTTGCATACTAGACTCTTGGCGTGGTCCACAGTGACCTAAGCATCTCGCTGATTTATATCTATAAGAGCTCATTTGAACAAAATATCAAGCAATCAGAGACGATTGAGGAGATCTTCGGAGCTCTCTCATTTGTGTTCTTGACACTTGCCCTCATTCGTCTACTTAAATACATCTTCAAAGTCCTCCAAGCCGACGATAATGGTGAAAATGGAACCTTTGTTTCGTACTATCTTCTCTGTTACCTTGCTCGAGTGAGTTTTCTACTGAATGGGCAAATCGCTAACGAGGTGCTCTCTACTTATAAAATGACTGATGGCATATGCTATGACTATGACTCCAATTATGTAGAGGTAGGCATCAGCGTCACTTATTGGGACTTGCAAGATTATTGGTGATGGTTTGATCACTCCACTTTCCGATGGATTCAATTAGGTTCCTTTTTTTTGTGGAAAAAAGACTTTATTTGATTATTCTATTAATTGTACTTTTGGCAGCTTGTGTTGAAATTTTCTCAGTCGTCTCAAAGCTGGGGCTTTCAATGTCCAACGAGCATATATGAAGTTTATGCATGCTTATCCTTTTATAAGCCAAGTGAACTATTTTATAAAAATAATTGCTCCCAAAAAGAGTCAAATTCTTTTCATATTCAAGGCATCTGGATTTGTTTTGAGCATATATTATTCATCATGTTTTTCCTTTTTCGCAATCAATAGAAATGATGAGTGCATTAGGATATATACCATGACATATTAAAACAAACAAATGCCATATTCTTATGTTCTTTAAATTATTTAAAAGTTTAAGTTGCTCCTTTTTTTTTGCATTTCAATTACTTAGATGTTTTAAGGTACGTGCTCATTTTTTCTTTTAGAATATGCGCCTTATTATTTCATGCAAAATAAGTTATATTTTATGGGTTTGTAAATCGTGTTAGTAGTAGCCTCTTAATTGTCAAATGGTTGTTTCTTTAAAGAATCTTTGATAAAAAATAATAATAGCAATCATATCTTTTAATTTATTTGCTCAAAAATACTTCACTATAAGATTCTTGATCAAGATAAAAAGTTTTTAAAATTATGATAATCTGTTGTAGGTTTATTTAATTATTTGCGAGAGAAGTTCACTAGTTTATTTTTTTTCTTCCTATAGATTAGCATTCTTCAAAGCTGATTAGCCTTAGCCGAACTCCAAATATTAGATACTATCCTGGTCAAAATTTCAGATAGTGTCATTTCTCGTCATTTATCTGAGGTGATATTGATCAACTTTCAATGCCTTACGATCTAATCGTAGTTGCAGTAATCTGAGCTTCCATCCAAAGGCCTTGTTAATTTGGTTTAGCTGGGATTAAATTTAAGTAGGATTTCATAAATTCTATAAATATGAATTTTATAAATATGGAGGTGTTAAATCCTAAATTCGTTTTGTAAGAAAAAAAGTAAATTTTGACAAATCTCATTTCAAAATTGTGGTAGGACTCGTATATTTTAGAGAAAATAAGTGTTACATGATATAATGAGTATATGTATAATTTTGTATAACATGATAATCATAAATTGAAGATGAACGCAATCTTAGTGGACCAATTCAAGTTGCGAGAGAAGCGTCGGCCCGAATGTTGAAATGGTAGTAGATAAAAATACCTGATTTTAAGAATTTATTGCTCTCCGTAGATAAATCAGAGATAAAGATGCCCATATCACACTGCAAAATACATTGATTGATCATTTGTGAGAGCAATATAATAATTATAATGTTTAGTATGTGTGTATTTTTTTGTTCCTATTTATGTTTCCTAATGTAAATTTTATTTTATTTAATAAATATTTCTTTTATTAATTACATTTTTGTATTCTAAATTAATTTATCTAGTTATATTTATTGGTTATAAAAAAAATTATATAGGTCTAATTCGAAGTTTTGATAAATATAAAGATATGATTAAAAATAAATATAAAAAACCAAATGAGCTCATTCAAGAACAAACAAACTACGATTCATCTTATATTTGTTCAGAGAGTAGATTGTTTGTGATTTTAGATGGATACGGGAAATAAAAATAAATAATTAAACGATTTTAGGCATGATTATTAAAAATAAATTATTAAATTATTAAATTTAACAATATGTATTTCTTTAATTTTTTGGCGTGTCAGAATTTAGCTCAAATCTTGCCTAATTCTGGCCTCAATCCTCATCCTCAATCCTCCATCCAGACAGGCCCAAAAGCAGAACTGAGAGGAAAGCGATCGGAATCTACAGCGAAGAGGCGAGAGGGATCGAATCTACAAAGACCTCATTAAAAGGGAAATGAGAGGGCCGAAGAGCTCCGCCGCGAGCCGGCGGCCGACCATCATTCTTCTCTTCGGCGTGGCCCTTATCTTTTCGGTCCTCCTCGTCTCTATCCAGTCCTCATTCTTCGCAGGTGTGTAGTAGGTAACCGGCGAACCGGAGAAACCCTATCTTCCAGATTTTATATGGTCTCCTCAAATTTTTTCCATCCTTGGTTTCAGGGAAGAGAAAATATGATACAAATAGGGAGGAGATTAGTATGCTCTCGGATTTCCAGTCACGAATTCAACAATGCGTGGTATGGCTTCAAATTGTTTCTCCCTTCCGTTGCTTATGCTTTTGTCGTACAATTATGTTGGAATATTAGGATATATGTTACTCTGCTGTTGTATAGAAAGAACTAAAATGTAAGGCTATGTGGTTTGAATTTAAGCCATTTTTATAGAAGCAATTTATATAGAGGTTTGTGGATAAATGGATACCTAGTTCTAAACTTCAGCGTGACTGATTATTGACCTGAAGTGATCTGGAAGAATTGTGGAAATTGTGTTGGAAATATGGGTACTGTTTTGGTTGGCCGAGGGGAATCCAGCTTTGATAGGTTCAAAGGATCTGTTTGTTAACGCACCTACTTTAGTTTGCTAGGGAGCACGAGGAATGAATGATGCTTATGATGGAGGACAACGAGATTGTGGATTTGTTTTGCACGCTGAGATGTACCATGTTTAAAGGTTAGATTAGAAGTGAGGTAATGATTTTTGCTACAGTAACCTTAAAAAGGTTTAATAAAGGTAGATTGTGTTGTGATGCAATCAAGGTAGGGGCTGATTTGGAGGGGTTTTTGGTTGCTGTTTTGTCTTCCCATTTGATTGTTTGGTCTTTCAATGTGGTTGTGTCTTCCCATGGTGGTTGTTCGATTTCCATGCTGTCCCTTGGTTTCCCTACTGTTGGTTGCCTGTTTTGATCGGTTTTCCCTGCTGCTGGCTGTTCAGTTGTTTCCTATGTTGTGTTCTTTAACTTCAAATTAAATGGGCTATCTTGATAAGCTCCTATTGACTGTTTTTGGTGGCACAATTATGTGAACTATTGAATGCTATTCCCTCTTATTTCTCCTATAAATTGAGGCTGATTTTCTATGTGGGGAGAGAGACTGAACAATTTTTGGAATGAGATCATTCAAAACCTGCGGGTTTGTCATAGCTTGTTAGCTATCTTCTTCTCTGTATCCTTCTTATATTTCGTCTTGAACTTCTATCTATTAATGATTTGATCGCCTAAAGTCACAATCCTCTCACTAGATCTATTATTACCAAAACTACACTCCATATATTCAGTTTTAGATCTATTCAAGCGAAAGCCTTTAGACTCTAAGGTTGACTTCTATAATTCATATAATATCAATACATGTATAATATATACTAATATATATTGTTATATTGTAAAATAAAAAATCATATTTGAGTCAACTCAAAAATTTTTTTTTATGCTGCTTGGAATCAAATAATTATGTTGGCTCGACTTGAATCAATTTTAAGTTGAGTTTGAGTTGAGTTGGATCAGAATTTTCTATTTTGATTTAAGTCATACTCACTCAAACTTTTAACTATTTGGCTATTTATATAAATATCTCACTTATGTTTTCTAAATTGAAATTTTATATAAGTTGAATGAAAATTCATGCTGCCTAAATTTTAGCTAGGTTATTTTCTCCTTTTAATACTATGAGTCAATACAACCCACTTTTATGATTCAACATTTCATTATATTTGTGGATTCAATATATACAACTTGAGGAATCATTGTGTATATCCCCACACTTGATTTTTTTGTTTACTGTTTGCACCAACATGGTATCAAATTTGATTTGATGTCAAATTTAAATAGACAAGGCAATAGAAAAATGAAAAGTGTAAGGATTTGGGAAAGACGGGAGAGAAAAGAAAAAAAAAACAAAGATGCACAGTGATTCTTCAATTTATTGATGCTAAATCCTCAAAGTGTTTGAATTGGTGAAACATTAAAGTACATTATGCCAATTCTTTGAAGCACAAAAATAGGAATTAGGCTTGCCAAAATTTGGTTTGCAAGAATTTCATTCAATTACCCTTGAGGGCTTACATAGTAAACCACTTGAAATAAGAAGTGACATAGCTTAAACAACTATAGTTTAATTTGCTCAAATACTAATAAAAAAGTTTTCATCATTGTTGGTCATCAAACAATGGGATAGAAGATTATGTCATTCACTTTAATAAAGTTTATTCTTTGACTAGGTTCTTCCACTACTCCATAGAAAAAGACTATCCGTTTGCATCCCTTTCAATAGGTGGTACCACTCTTTTATCCCCTCTTTTTTGTTTTTCTAAACATTGCATAAGGAATCAATAGAATATTGGTGATCTGGAGCTTACGATTTTTCTTTGTTAGGGTTACTCTTGTGATTTCTTGCAACAACTTATTCTTCTAATTTTTTTTTTTCAACATCTCTTTGTTCCTCATTTTTTTTCTACTTTCTTTGGCATTCTGTACCCATATCTTTTTTGTTGACTAGGATTTCTTATTTTTTTGCATTTGATTCCTTGTGCTGTTCATGTTCTACAATTTTTATTCTTTTATCCCGATGACTTTCTCTACTGGGTTTTGCAACTTCTATTATTTTGTTTCTGTGACTTTCTCTACCAGTTCTTGCGGCTTATCCAGCCACTTTTTTGTGTTATTTAGAAATCAAAATTTGTGAACTCTCCATGAAGTAAGTCATGGCTGATTAAGGGAATTTCAAATTGGATTTATAAATATGAATTGGGTTTAAGGTATGTATAAAATTTATAATTAATGATTTGATAAAAATTCTATTTGGATGTGCATTCCTTTTGCTTTTGAGATTCAATTTTTTAACTAAGTGAGAGACTTGAAGAATTTTGAGAGAGGTTATCTCCTAGTATAAGTGTAATGCTTGCTTTCTGGTGAATTATTTCATTTTTTATTACTCTATGTTTTGTTATTGGTTTAAGAGAGTGATTGTGTTTCGTCAAATTTGATACAATTTTGTTTCCTTCAAGTGCATCAATTCAAAAACATAGTTTGTGTACCATGAATTTTACATGTTCGTTGTACAGGTTTCTACATCTCATATTACAGTTGCATTAAAAATTCTAGACTCAAAGATATCATATATTTGATTTGATATCATAGCTTAAATTTGCATCACATTGTGAACCATCATAACAATAAAAAGATGTAATTTAAACAAAAATAGTTTTGCTATTATTCTAAATAATTTTTAAATAATTAATAAAGTTAATAGTTATATTCCTATATTTATGAGAGAAATAATCTTTGTGTATCTTCAAATTGAATTGATAATTTATCAGACTTCCTTAAAAGTTGCAATATGTCTTATTCCTAATGAGCTGAGTTTGCTAAACAAGCTTAATGGGATTTATGCAAATATTTTGGTGAAGTTTTACTGCTAAAATATCTACTTGGGTTGATATGAACCAAAAACTTAAAGAACAATATTAATCATGCATTTATTATAGAGATTAATTGCATGATTAATTTATGAATTCAATTTTCATAGTCATGCAAGTTCAATCTTATTCCATTTAGCTTTGCAAGTTACAAGTTTTATCCATGTATATACTCTTTCCATTTTCTTATTTTATGGATACGACTCAATCTATTTATCCTTGAAGTATCATTTGAAGCATTTTAGTATAGTAAGGCAGGGAATTTTAAACAATTTACAATGACACCTTCAGCATTTGACTAGTCTATAATGTTCAATTTACCCTTGCAAGCTTGCACCTACAATGTTTTCAAATAATGAAGGGATTGTTATGTTGCTTGTGAGACTGCAAGTTATTGCAAATTAAATGATTCATGGAAAAATAAATTATGTAACTTATGTTGCATTAACAAAAACCTATTTAGTTCAAAGATTAGGAAATCTGTAGTAATAATATGATTGCTGACATTAGAAAAATGTATGATTCTCTGAATTCTTCTGTACTTGTTTATGAAAACAGGCCATGAATCTTGTTTCTTATATTACCATAGAGTACAATTTTTTACTTCCCAGTTATTCTTTATGACCCTGCATTATTTTTTCCAGGCCTACTTTCAAATGAGGGTTGATATTTAACAACAGTGGAATTTTGTCCAGGCAAACAGAGGACTTGGCCTCACTGCAGACATTATTGATCACTGTAGATTGATCCTTAAATTTCCTGAAGGCACTAACAGTACCTGGGTTAAATACTCTCTCTATTTACCTTCAGAATTAATGACATTTTTTCTTCCCTGATCACCGAAGTTTCCTTACTAATTTTGGCTTAATGCTTTATATCTCTTTACAGTATAATGCACAGTTTAAAATTTTTGAGCCGTTGGAATACCAGTATGACGTATGTGAAGCTATTCTACTGTGGGAACAGGTTAGTTCTTATTTCTAAACATATGTTTGATCCCCTTAAATAATATACATTGAACTTTTAAAAATGGCAGTACCGTAATATGACTACCATCTTGACAAGAGAATACTTGGATGTCCGACCAGACGGTTGGTTAGATTATGCAGCAAAAAGGATTGCACAGTTGTAAGATGCCTAACATTAGTTGTTCCCTCAGTTTCATGTGCCATGACTTAATTACCACCAGTTTCTTGGCATTGATGCCATCTGCTTCTTTTCAGGAATGCAGAGAGATGCTACAATCGCTCTCTTTGTGAGGAGCACCTTAACTTGATTTTACCATCAAAGCCTCCTTTTCATCCACGACAATTCAGAACATGTGCTGTTGTTGGGAATTCAGGGGATCTCTTGAAGACAGAATTTGGGCAAGAAATTGATGAACATGATGCAGTCTTTAGGGACAATGAAGCTCCGGTTAATGTTGTACGTAATTCAATATTTATTTCTCTTCTTTACAAAAAAGTTAAACTAAGGATTTTAATATTCGCCAGTATATAAATGCATTTGCTAATCATCATAGTGATGAAAATTGCTACTGTTTGAATATAGTGCCATGCTACATTGCAAACTGTTTTGCTTTGGGCTGCATGCTTGATGTTTGTAAGCTATTTGTTTTGATACACTTGGATTTTGTTGCTACCTTCCCCCATAATTACTTGGTAATTCAGCAGTTACTATTTTGCCTTATTTAATTTTATCCTTAATCTGGAATATTTGGTTTACTCTAGTGCTTGATACATTGGTTATATGCTTCTTGGGAAGCCATAACCCTGACTAAGAGTGGATTATAAATAAAATAAGAAATTTGATTAATGAATTACTCTGATATAATAAGCTAGATGATGATCTTGCAATCCACCTATGAATAATGTATATTGTATGATTTAATTAAGTCCCACGAAATTGAAAATAAAAATTAGATCCCACGAAAGTGTTTGTATGCATATATAATGATGCATTGAAGTAAATCAGGATATATAAGCATGGTCTTAGGGTTAGCTTAACAATTCTTCTGAGAGTGGATAATGAATAAAATGAGAAATGTGATGAATGTTTAATCTTATATAATAAGGTAGATGATAATATTGCAATCCACCTTTGAATAACATATATTGTATGATTTAAGAAAATGCCACAAAAGTGTTTGTATGGATATATTGTAGTGCATTGAACTAAATCAGGATATATGCTTGACATGTTTCTGAATTACCTTAACAATTCTTATTTGATTTTACCACGTGGAAACATTAAGCATCAAAGCACACCCAAGTGCATTAAGATATATGATATATGTTGTTCGATTAGCATGTTTCCGGCTGCTAATTTTCTTCTTCCTGCCTCTATGCAGAAATATGCTAAACATGTTGGCCTGAAACGGGACTTCCGTCTTGTAGTAAGAGGAGCTGCTCGAAACATGGCTGCCATTTTAAATGGATCTTGTACGTTTAGAGATTAATATGCTAAACTAAGCTTTTTCTTTTGAAAATTGCATCCTTCAAGCTGTGAGGTGGAAGCTAGTTTGTTTGCTGGAAGAGCCAGATTGTAGTTCGTGAAGATATGTTGATCATTATTTAATTTATTTTTTTATTGTAATTATTTGTAGAGGGCCGTGCAATAGTTACCAATGAGATGGATGCTAGATCGGCAGTTCTGATTTCATGACATTGTGAAATCTTATCAAGCTTTAATTTTTGTATAGCCTACTATTGCAGAATAAGCTTGGAATAAGTAAAGCGTATATTTTCATTTTTGCGTCTGCTATTAGATGTGGTGGGATATGGAGTGGGGTTAAGAGCAATAAGTGCAATAAGACTAGTTAGTTCCATTGATGAGATGACCTTTGATTTTGACTTTGCCTCTCAACTGTCTTTGGATATTATAAGTGTGAGTCATGTACGTTGACGATTCTATGATGATTTGTTTTCTTTGGCAAGTAAGATGAATGGAATATTTTAGTAGGCTCGAGATAGAAATGCTTATTGTTAATGCCCAATTTAGTAAAATTTAAATATCAACAAAACTTCAACTCTTATCATATGAACCGGTCAATGCTTTTAGAAGATTCAAAACGATAACTGGCTGTGCAGATCTCTTATGTGACGCTTATGTCTCTTTAAAAGCTCCCTATCAAAGTTTGGAAGAGTCATATTGCATGCAATTTTGTTTATCTACATTAATTTTTTTTACTAAGCACATCCTTTATCTGCCTTATGTAAGTATAATATGTTAACCATTCATTCACCACCTTCAACATACAACTAAAAGAAAATTATCGATGTTTTTTCAAGTAGACCACCTTTTACATAAAACTGATTCAGCCAATAACCTTTTTTAGTTAGGTTTCATATCCTATTTCTCAACTGTGTTGTGCTATCGACTTCCATTTCATATATTGTATAATTACTTTATCATATATAGCAGCCTTTATTTTCTTCTAACAAAGCATTTACCAAACTTGAATCATACTATGCAGCAGATGAGGTGCTTATAATTAAAAGTGTGACGCATAGAGACTTCAACGCTATGATAGAGGTGACGTTCTAAGCAGAGTGTATTTTATCATTTATATTTGTGTTGTTTATAATACTATTCTAATATATATTTAACTTGAGTTACTATCACTACTGTCAAAAATCTATACAGATTTAATGATCACAGAAGATGTAGCATATGATTTATTTATAGATCTGACCATTTTTTATTTGCTAATATAACTCTTGTGGCATATGATGCAGAGTCTTCCTAATCCAGTTTATCTTTTCCAAGGAATAGTGCTACGAAGGGGTGCTAAAGGAACTGGAATGAAGTCTATAGAATTGGCTCTATCCATGTGTGATGTAGTGGACATATATGGTTTCACTGTGGATCCTGGTTATACAGAATGGTTAGTTAATAATCTTCCAACCTCTGCAACCGATAATTTTTTTTATTTATAAGTTTAAAATCATTTTATCTATAAATTATGGTTGATGTACTTAATGGTAATGTGTGTGGGTGATAACCGGTGGGATAGCATAAGGGAATAATTGTTATAGGGTAAGGACCGGGAGTTAAAGAATGAATGAGATTGAAGAAATTGGGTGAGTGAATGCTTCAAAGAAAGGGAGGTGGGTGATAGAAATAAGCATGAGAGAACTTTAGATGGAGGAAATAAATACTCGTTGGAGAATACTAAAAATAAACCTTTACTTATTTTATGTTCAATTGACCCAATTATAATACTCTAGTCACTATTGAAAGAAATAGGCTTTCTTAAAAATGACAAAATAATTCTTAAAAAATATTAAAAAGGAAAAAATAGTCTTAAGTATCAAATGTGATTTAAACCCGTTATAATTAACTTAAAAGAAGAAAGTCACAATATACAACAACAACAACATCAAGCCTTTATCCCACTATGTGGGGTAGAAAGTCACAATATACAATAAATAAAATTAAGATACAGACTATGACTAAAATTTGAGAATGATATCGATAGAAGACTCTCTTCATCAATTCTCAACTCTTGAAAGATTTCTCTAGAAGCTTGCGAGCCTTTATGCTTACTGCTAGAGTCACCTTATCCAATTTGACCTGATTGACTTGACTCTTTTTATTAATTTGAGTTTATAATTGGGCTAGATTGGGCAATTTAAGGTTATTTGGAAACTTAATTGAATTTGGTTTGATTTGTTCATCAATATTCATGCTTCACAATATTAGGTGGAGAGCAAACATTATGGGCAAAGCTTACGCGAGATTTTAGGGTTGCCATACTTGTGCATGAATGAGGTTGAGCATTGTGTGCAGGAGAGTGTTTCGAGTGTGCATTAAATTGTGATTGTACGCTTCAAACATGAGATGTGGGAGATGTTTGATGGATGTTTGAAGCGGTTGATATTAAGCACTGAAGGAGGAATGTGGGAGACATGCACAACAACTGAGCATTACAATGGGATTATGAGGTTATTTGTTAAAGTGTTGTTAGAGTTGCATGAGAAGCGAAGGGTAGAGAGAAAATGCGTTGTGCTTGGGCTTATCAAATTTGATGTTGATGATAGAGCAGGAAGTGGATTAAAGAAGCTAGAGATGACGTTAGAGGAGAAGCACGGTGGAAAAATATGGAGTTTGAGAGGCATATAATTGGTTGGAGTCATGAGAAATAGATAGGTCAAGCGAAGGAAGATCTACAAGTTAAATCAGGGGAACCTAATGTACGCTGGGTTGCAAATCACGTGTATGTGGATGTATGTATATAGTTTAGTGATTTTTGCATGTGAAGAGCAACTATGAAACCGTACAAGTGAGAAAGCAAGCAGTGTAATGTTATCGAATTTGTAGGAGAGCAGGAAGGAGAGATCTTCTTGGAGGCGAAGAAACTAAATAAGTTTATTAAAAATAGTGTTAAGGAGATCCCCATTGATTGGGACAGAAGAGGTTTTGATGGAGTCGACAGAGAACACAAATAGGGTGATGAAGCTGGGCTCAATGATGGGGAAGAGGCTTGAGTTCATGATGGATGAATGGAGAGAATTGTTCATCTGAAAATTTTAGGATTTAAGAATTTAGCTCTAATACCAAGTTGATAAGGATCTAGACAAGAAAAAAAGGAAGAGTTCTGTATGGGGGAAGAATCACAGAGTTAAGAAAGTAAGGGGATTGAGGAGATTAAATGAGTTTATACTCAAAAGAAGGTAGGGAGGAGAGAGAAAAAAAGCATGGGATAGTTCTAGATGGGAGAATCAATCCCTAGGTTGATGCCAAAAGAAAACTTTATATATCCCAACCTCAACTAACATAATTACAAGACTCAAGCTAGTTTTTAGAGAATTATGATGGATTAAAAATGAAAAAGCTATCATTAAATAAATGTAAAAAAATGACAAATTAGTTTAAATATAAAATGACATTTAAACCCCTAGTTATTAACCAAAATAAATATATGATTTACAAAATGAGATTGAAAACATAAACTTTGATTAAGATTGAGGTAGAGTTGTAATGCATCAATTAGCCTATCTGTTCACTTTTTATTATTTATTTTTTACATTTGCTGAACTTAGAGATCCATGACCTTTCTTTGTCCATGTTGGTGTTAAAACAAGAAGACTAATATTAATCATTACAAGTTTAGAACAAGCAGCTTGCTTAACTGAAAGTACCTCATTGGAATTACTTGTATGAGCATGAAAACATAAATAACAAAGAAATCAAGCACATAAATACGCTAAAATTTATATGATTTGGTCGCAACTTATATCTACGAAAGGAGATGGTCGCAACTTATATCTACGAAAGAAGAGGGATTTATTCACTGTTAAGAAGCCACATAGGTGCATAGGTAAATGAGGCACAATAGAACCTCCCTCCCAATACATCTAATGATTTAATATTTCCATAAAGAGAATCATCAAATTTGTTTTGCTAAATAAATAGTATTAATGCTATTCTTATATCTTGTGTTTGTTATTAATGCATAGATATTGATGTTATGATATGATAAAAAAAGCATTTCGTGTTGTCAGGACGCGGTACTTCTCCTCACCAAGAAAGGGGCATAATCCATTGCAGGGAAGAGCCTATTATCAGTTGCTGGAATGCCTTGGTGTAAGACCTTTGTTTCTTCTCTTATGACCCTAGCTAGCTTCATGTTTTTGACAGGAAACACTTGTAGATCTCAACTATTTCCTATCAATCTTCGGAAAACAGCTTGCTCCACAAAACCCGCACAAAATCACAAAACAGTAGATAATTTGTATTATTTGATGAAAGGAACACGGAAAATAGCAATATACACTTGATCCTCAATTCGAGAGGAGGATCGATCTCTCCCAAATCTCTAGACGCCGCTAGAGCCCAAAGAAAACCTAAATCTAAGAGATCTCAAATTTCAGCCAAATTCAAGATGCCCAAACTCTAGGAAACAAATAATTCGAGTGTTCCTTCTTACTTCTTGGCCGTAACTCCCTAGGCTCTCACCTCTTTAAATTTTTCCAAAATCAGACATTTTAATTTTAGAATTAAACCCCACCTGCTAATCTAAGTCCACCGCCTCCTCTCTAAGCTCTTCCCACGTTTTCCTTCCCTTTCCTGGAAACTCCAATTGGCTGCCCACATATTCCAGCATTATTGGCTTGCCGTCCTGCATCCTTGAAGACCCGAGATTGCTGTCCAGGAATTTCTGGACTGTTTTTGGTGACTGTCTTGCCACCAGGAGGCCATGGTGTGCTGTCCAAGAGTTTCATTTTGCTGTTTAGAGAAACCAGTCCAAAGATACTTGCTGCCCACCCGCCAGAGATCATCAAATTGCTGTCCCAAGGCAGCGAGAGGTTGCATGTTGCTGTCTACTTCCTCCCAAGCATATAAACACCTCACATATTCTAATCCCCCAAATCCATTCACTGATTTGGGAATTGAAATCCATTAAATTTCCCTGTTGTCCCACCGTCCCCTCTTCTCCTAATTGCTCCAGCAAACTTCTCTAGTCAAGACACGTGGATTGGAATTTCTTCTCAGCCTTTCTCTTCTCCATTAAGGATAGACTTCTCCCTCAACTGTCTCTAGATCCTTGTCCACTAAAATCTGAGAATTCCTCTCAGATTTTTGTTAAAAGTCTGAAACTGTTTTCAGATTTTGAGAGAACAAAGTTGGGAGTTTGTTTCCCTTTCAAGTGCAAGAGAAACTTCTTTCTCTTTGCCACCACTCAAGAGGCCTACCAAGTGCTAAGGAAATTTGTTGCCAAGCACCCATGAATGGAAATCCACCTCTCCCTAGCAAAGCCGTTCCCGTTCTACAGCATATACCCTTTATTAACTTAAAATGACCTAATATATGCAGGTTATAAGGATTCATTCTCCTATGAGGGCTGAGAGGATTCAAGATTGGTCTGATTTGCCAAGCAAAGAGAGCATAAGGCTTGCTCATGGAGCTGCTCTTCGCTTGAAGAAGATTCAGGCAAGAGGAGGTCCTCTTCAGCTCGGACCTTTCACCAACTGCAAAGTTTGGGGCACCGTAGGCAGAGATAATGCTGGTCCTGTCTCGGGATCTCCTCACATGAGTTATACGAGGAAGAACTCAAATTATAGCAAATGGGAGCTTCTGCCATTTGAGAACCTAAGAAGGGAGGCTCAGGAACATTATTTGCAAATGGGCAGTGTATCTCTGTACAAGATGGATGGCAACAAATTGGATGATCTTGTCTGCGTCAAACATGAATGATTTTCCATCAAGAGCTTCGACAATGATGCTGATGACTTGAGCTTTTACTAGTTTTTGTAATTGAGGCGACTTTGAACGAGCTCATTTGTTATTTTGCTTGCCTCATTCTGGAAATGGAAAAATTATTATGTGCCGAGACCGGATGGCGAGAACTGTCTAAATTTGTTGCCCTTTGGCTGCTTTTTTTTAGTGTTTTTGCAAATATTCAACAAAAGGACAGTAAATATGCATTTATAATTTGTACTTTTGCTGAGTATTTACAAAAACGTAGCAAAAGAGCAACTAAAGCTTTGCTGCGCTTAAGCTGCTCTTTTGCTGTGCTTTTGCATGTAATCAGCAAAAGGGCATCAATATGCATTAATAATTGTAATTTTTCTGCCGTTTTGCTCAGTATTTGTAAAACTGCAGCAAAAGAACAGTTAAAGTGCAACAACTCCAGGCTGTTGTTGTCATCAGGTTTCTGCACAGAATAATTTCTCCTGCAAATGAGATTTTTTTTTTTGGTTTGTATTCAGCTTTTTAACATTTTTATTATTTTTTATTCTTATTATTATTTTTTAACATTGAGCCGTGGTAAGTTCTTTATGAACATAAAATCTGTTTAAAAAATTCATATATTTAAATTCAAAATATATAACTTTCGCACCCATATATTACATATATATAATTCAGTGTAGGTAGAGCTCTGTGGCCCTCAACATGGCTCCAAAGCACTTGGCCGGCTGGCCGGTTGTACTAGCCCTAATTGTTTGTTTACAAGACGTCTAGCCCTTGTCTAGAACTGCTCAAGAGTTTGTCCTTATTGGGATATCCCTATTAAATTAAATTAATGACCATAAAGAGTTTTGGGATATCCCTATTAAATTAAATTAATGACCATAAAGAGTTCTAAATTTTAATGAAAATGCTGGAGTAGTTCTAATGGCAGAGAAAATCAGAGAGTTATTTTAGTCTTTTAGATGATTTGGTCACCTGAAGTGTTGGTTATTTGATGATCCGATTAAAAGAGTTTGATATTTTAGTTTCTGCTTGTGATACGAAAAGTAGAGGCAAATTTAAAAGGTTTAATTAAAAAGTATTAGAAATTTTTTTTGTTTATTAGATTTAAATGAGAATTTAATTTTTAATAAGTTATAATGGAGAAAAAGAATTCTTACATTGTGAGATAAAGATTTGATGTTGTTATTCTTGTTGAAGAGATTTAAATATCTTAAATTTATTTTGAAATTATTATATTCATTATTTATATTTAATATTCATTTTAAGATAAATTTAATAATTTTGAGATCCATTTACTTTACTATTTATTAGAATATTTTGATAAAAAAATTTTAAGACAGAATAGATTGAGTCTACTTGCATGCATGTAGGCATTCAATATATATATATATTTTTCGACTATTTCAAAATAGTATTTGCTCTTTACAAACACAAGACCTCTCTCTCTCTCTCTCTCTCTCTCTCTCTCTCTCTCTCTCTCTCTCAATAAAGAGAAATTATTTTGTGTGAAATCGGATCGTATGTAGGCGAATCAGAGCTCGCCACGTCGCCTATTACACAGCGGGTATATAGTCTCGGTACATAGCAAAGAGATGACATGGTGCGCTCTGATTCGCTTTTGAGCGGCGTCTGTATCCGCATAGAATAATTCCTCCTAAATCAGTCCCAATTGGTTGAGTTATACATGCGTGCATATTCCTCATATCCTATCAGCTCATATAATGATGCCATTTGTCCTAAAAATAAAATATAAGAATTATTCAAATCCCTGAAATAAAATAATTCTAGTCAAATAAAATTCAAACTATTTATGTAAAAAAAAAAAAGCAATTCAACGCAGCAGGTCTTTAATAAAACTTCACTATGACAAATGCATCAAAACGGAGTATAAAACCTTCTGTATTGCTCCTAACTCATTCTTACAGCATATGAGAGACAAATGACAGCCTATTCTATTGTTCATGCAATGCCCGTAATTTGTTCCATGAAATCCTCCTCTGCTACCTATGGTTTTGTATGCTTAATAATATAAAATTTTTAAGTCTTTCTTATTCAGTTATTTACTTGTTCTTGTAATATGAATGGTAGCTAGCCTACCTTCACTTGAAGACAAATTTCAGTATTGGGTTCTCCTATATTTTGTGCAACTTGTGAAGAACTGCTCTAACCCATGAAAGTTGGCTGTCCAAAAAACCTTACTATATTTTAATTAAAAGTTAAAATTGAAGGAGGGGTCTGAATTAGAGCCCTAAGATCATCTTCAACCGAACTGCCAACTGGTGTTTGTCGTCCGCCCCAAGCTCGGCCTCAACATCATTTACAGCTGCATTTTTGCGAGGTGAACAATGCAACATCAATATTGTTCAAAAATACTTTTTTTAAAATCATAAATGATGGAAACAGAGAAAGATGAGCAACTGCATGTAGTTCAGTTGAGAAAGAATATATATTAAATATTCTTTTATATTAGAAATGGAGTTCGGTTGGAGATAAGTTCCTGCATTTTGAAGTGAAATTGAGCTTTTCGGTTAGAGATGCCCTAAGCTTATCTTTTGATTCCAAGTCATGATTTTGTGGTCAATGAATAATGCTATAGCAAGATTACCATTTAAGTGAAATCACAAAGTAAGATTACCATTTCTTCAACAAATTCATATGAGAGACTTATATTGAAGATTTGAATGAGCAGCATTGATGAATTCAATTGACAAATTTATTAGCGAATATAACTTCACACTAACAACTTCAAATGATAAATGTCGAATCTTTTGTTTGGTTTAAAGATGGCTTCTTAGAAAACTCTTTCAAGTAAATTAGTTTAATTGTTAATATATTGAATCTAAATAATAATAAGAATATTATAATTTGATTAACTCCTTCAGACTCCAATGAAAGTGTGATACATAAGGTTGCACACACTGTGTACATCTATGTACAAGCTTGTACGCACTATGTATAAGCTTATACACACTTTATACATAACTGCACATAGTCTGTACAAAGTTATACACAGTGTGTACAACCTTATACATAGTTGTACGCAATGTGTATCAACCGACTGTCACGCTTTCATTGGAGTCCTAATATAACTCTACGTCTGCACTCTGCTCGTAATAATTTCTTTTGATTTAGAGGCTCAAATGTATTTAAAAAATAAACCTAAATGCACATTGTTTTCAGGAGGTGTGGTTATCACCTTTACTGTTGCAATTACTATAAGCACTATACTTAGACATAATGTACAGTCATTTGAGCCATGCAATGCTATATTGCTTAATGCCAATTTGGAATAAAATGTCTTCTTTATCCCTATCCACAATCATGAATTTTTTTTTTGTCATTTGGTGTAATATATATTTAAATTTAGAAATAAGAGTAATAATTTGCTCTTATTCACCAACAAAGAATGCTAATTTTATCACATTAGTTATCAATCAACGGCATAAACGAGTGAAGCTGAGCTCGAGTCACCCCTGTTTGAGCTTGATTAATTAATAGAGATTGAGCTCGACCCAGAGCTTTATTTAATGAGTCCAAGCCGACTCAGGAGCAGACTAATTTATTTTGAAAAAGAGAGAAAGATTAAGATTATGATTCAAATAATTATTATTAAAATAATACAAATTATAAAATATTAGAAGAAACCTAATAAGGAATCACTTAATATGAAAAGATAAGATAAAACTTTTAAACATGTTAAACAATTTTATACTTAAAATCTTAAATGCTAATATATGTTTTAAATGCATTTTATATTACTATTTTAAAAGGGTCAGCTCATGAGCTAACAAGTCGAGTGAGAATTGATTCAAACTTGAGTTGTTAGCTCATATGAGACTAACCCAAATCCAACTTTGCCTCCTGAGAGATTACTTTGTACGGAGTCTAAACGCTTCCGGAGGTCAATCCGGAAGCGCCACATCATCCAATGCATTGTACATTAGGTGATGTGGCGAGTCCAGATTGATCTCTGGACAAATCCGGATACCACACTTAATAATTTTTTCTCACTTACGCTCCTATCAATAATCATCATCAAATTAAAAAGAAAAACTATACCATTCAACAGTCCTCAACATTGAGAACAGAAAGCAACCCAACCGCATTTAGGAATGAGAAAAAAGCGCTTTTCAACTGCAACTGTAAAATTTTCATCACAGTGAAAAAGGACAAACCGACAAAGTTAAAAATGCCATTTTTTTCTCAAATAATTACCCTACCTTTCCTCCTTCCTTTTTTTAGCAGTGCCAAGACAAAGAACAGATACCGAGAGAGTTCGATCACTCTCTTTGGGAAGGACTTCTCCAAAATCCAGTCCCAGAGAATTGAGCACACATCTTCTCCTCCATTTCCGACACCTCCACCGCCGGCGATTTCTCTGGCCACACCAACCCCGTCTTCTCCGCCGTCATCGAAGCGGGGGCGACGCTATTAAGGGATTTCTGTGCTGGGCCCAGCAGCCCGGAAACTGCCCGTTGCTTCCTCTTCCGCGCTATACGGCGTCCGATCTCAGCAGGAACACTAGCCGCCGTGAGTAATATCAAGCCGATGAGACCACAGGGACAGCAACACAACACCGCCGCGCACCCCGCCGCTGCGCCGCCGGCCACCTCCCCCAATCTCTTACTCTTCTTAGGTGCCTTCTTCGCCACTACCGCCGCCGCCGCCGCCGCCGCCGCCGCCGATCTCTCCGGCATCGGAATCTTTGAGACTCCGTCGATCATGTTGGCCGGCTGATTTCAGACCAACGGCCCTGCTTTGCCGGAGCTTCTCCTTTCTTCTTCCAGCTCGGGAGTTCGCGGGGTTCGATTCGGAGATTTTTCTGGGCGTTTTTTGCGTCCATTTAAATGGCGCAGGTTCGGGTTGAGCGGATATTGACCCGTTAAGGCTAACCCGTTACCCGATTTAGTTTTTTTTTTTAGCCTCCAGTCTCCTCTATTGGACTCGACTCGTCAGCTTTTAAATAAATATTCCCTCATTTAAAAAATAAATATATTTTTGTTGAACTACTTATTATTCTGATAAGTAATATTAGGGTTAAATAATTTATTCTCAGTGTGCTGATGCGATCGAGTTGAATGCAGAGTTTAAAATGTTAAAATTTTTTTGGACATTTAGGTCATTTAAGTCAAACTCACACACACAACGCATACACAAAGACTCGAACCCAAGACCTCTTAGTTGGAAGCCTAAGCTCTCAACCAACAGGCCAATGTGAGTTGTGTACCTTAAAATTTTATGCAGCTCATCTTGATCTGTTAGTTTGAAGCTTTAGCAGCCAACCATTAGGTCATAAGTTCAAAGCTTGTGTGTGTAAATTTATCTTAATTCACCTAAATATTTCATATAATAAAAAAACTTTTAAATTTTTTTAGTTTATTTTAATATGATGTGAAATTAGTAAATATGTGGAAATGTTGAAGTAGCTCGAGTGATAGTTAAGATTATAGAGAGTGGTCTTGGCCGGTTTGGCCACATAAAATGTCGACTTTCTTGTTATTCTATTAGGAGAGTAAATGTATTAGATATGACATATGCTAAAAAAGGTTAGAGGTACATCTAAAATGACTTGGTTAGAAATTATTAAAAATATATATATTTTTTCATTAGATTTAAATATGAATTTATAATAGGACATAATGGAGAATACATTATAAAAAAATATCTTGACCAGGCATGAATCTCAAGGCAAAATCTAAGTTGAAAATTTCAAAAATAAAATTCGGAATCATTTGAACTTTGATTTCAGCAAATTTATAGTTGAGTTGATCGTCTCGGAAATACGAATTCAACAACACCAAATTTGACTCAATATGAGCCCAAATGGGTCCAAATCAAAGACCCGGAGCACATTTGGAATGTTCAAACCATGATTTGGATTACCAAAGTTTCTAAACATAACATGCTTATAGTCTAATCGAGTGGCTCGACGAGACGAATCAAACAAGCCTAAGATTGCCAAATTCCGACATCATTAAGACATTCAAAAGCTCAATAAACCATCCATGATCAATGGAGTCAACATCGGTCGTCCATCCAAATCACTCCCAATTTACCTTTGATCTTCCTCCTATTTATAGGTCATGCTACTCTCAGAAATCTATAAATAGATCCGTCACTTATCATTGAGGAGGGATCCCAAGCAAGGGAGCAAGAGAGAGATCGAAAATCGCTCGTCACATAACTCCTCCTCGACCACCACTCAGATTTCTGCCGGACCACGGCTTGACGCCCGAATTTCTGCCGGACTATCGCTTAAAGGTCGGACTTCTGCAGGACCACCGCTTAAAGGTCGGCCACGTGAGAAATTATATTATTTTTTTAAGATTTTGAGTTTTCAATTAAATATTTTAAATTTGTTGAATTTATTTGGGGAATAAATTAATATAAATTTAATTGATTAGTCATTATAAAATGAATTTTATTATCCTTAGATTTACATTGCCTAAAAAATACTATAGCACAAATCTCAGCACGAAAACAATGTAATTTTTTATAAAATTTGATGTAAAACTGCTGCGAAGAAAATAATTTTTAAAAAAACTGTTGTAGAAAGCAATTTTCTACCGCAAATAAACTCAACAACAATATTTAAGAATCAGATTTTTGTGAAACATTTTTTCAAGCGAGAATCTTTTGTTGATTGTGTGATGAAGTAGCAAAATAGAACCAAAGGTAACCTCTTTTGATTACAACAGCATGATTTACATTTTCTAAGGGCATAAGATACTTAATAGACCCTTTTTATGTCTCAAATCCACAGACTTAATGATTCATAAATGAATTTATCTTTTTGAAAAAATTAATAAGACAAAGATAAGTTATTTCACCTTAATGTTAGGCAAGAATGCTCTTATGCTTCATAGAAAAAATTGTTTTGCATTAATGCTCTCTTATCCAGTAGGGGTTGTGGGTGATAGGAGGGAACAATTATTACGTCCTCCGACCGGACGCAGACGAACGTCCGGTCGGAGGCAAAATCCCGCCAAAAAACGAGTTGTACCGAGCAAATACCGAGCAATACCAAACAATAACGTGGAATACCATCATTTGAAGACCAAATACCGAGTTATACCGAGAAATATCGAGTTATACAAAAGTTGTACCGAGTTTTTTTAGGCACAACTAAATATTTCTCGGTACAGCTCGGTATAACTCGGTATTGGTCTTCAAAGAGCGGTATTCCTCGTTAATATCAAATAATACCTAGTTGTACCAAGCAAATACCGAGATTTTTGGCAGAATTTTGCCTCCAATCGGACGTTCCTCTACGTCCTTACACCAGACGTAATAAAAGTTCGATAGGAGGGGGAGGGGGAAAGGTGTCGGCATACGAGAGGGCTCAGGGTGTAAGGCGGCACGAAGTGTCGGAGTTTGATGAACAGAGGGGGAGTTGAATGAATGTAACGGGATGGTGCGACTGTTGAATCATGATAGGTGAGATGATGACGGATGCAATGATAAAGGCAACAACACAAGCTCGCTGATGATGAAGACGACAATGGTGATGGGTGGGTTAGGGAAGAAAGTACAAGATTTAAGCCAATCAGCTACTCTCTAAATGTAGGGAAAATAAAACATTTGTACATTTCTAATGTCTTAAATTTTTTACTTCGTATTAGTTTTACTTGAAATCATGACACGGATCCCACTACATGAGATCAACTATATGAATCCTTCTCCATTGTATCCTGTTAAAATAATCATGATATGAATCATTTAACACATTGTGTTAATACTTTAAATAAACATTGAAAAAATTAAATAAAATCAAAAGAAATGCAATCCACCCCTTATGATTTCCACCAAATTGCCACCACAAATTCTAGCCTTAATATGAACAAAACTCTTACAAGCAGAATAAATAAGATTTCTTGCATCATTTCGTAGATTGATGAAGAGATGTACAACCTTTCAGCAACCGTATATAAGCTTAGATACCATATAGCAAAAACAGACTCATGCAGTCACGCTTCTATGTTTTAGACAAAGGAACTTTATTACAACAAGAGCAGATTAATGAGGAAACTTACAAACAAGACTGCAAAGCATTATTAGAAGAACCAGTTTTTTTTTGCAGCAAAGCCATCCATCCAAGTCTGATGGACATGTACCAGCATGAGTCCTTCAGGCGTGTCTGCCTGCAAAATGAGATTCAATCAGCTTCCTTTATATCATCAAATATCATATAGAGGTAACAGTAAGAACCAGGAAATAGCACCTTGGTTTTCAGCACTACGGTAGTTAGGCAGCATCGCCGCCCTTCATCTACATACATGAGACAAAGGCTTCCTTTGGTTATCCATTAACTTTTGTAAAAGATAGTTTAAAAAATGTTGGTAGAGAAAATGGAGTTCTCAAACAGAGAAGCATATATCAAGGAACTTCTCAAAACAATAAAAAAAATGAAGTTCTGCAAAAAATATTTTCACATAAGCAGTATATTCAAACATCGACGCCATTTCCCAATGGAGAAGAGAAAATAAGCCGTGTCAAATGAGGCCAAAATTGAAGTCTCTTTTGTTAGCGATTAAGTAAACCCCAATCAAAAGAAATTTGCATGAGCTACAATGAAATGAATCCAAATTTTCTAACTATCAACTCTCATCAATATTCTATTATCTTTCTATGTTTTTGCTTATTTTCCAACAGATTCATTTTGTTGGAAAGCTCAAACTATGCCAATTGGTATGTTACAATTCCTAAGGCAATGTGTAGAAAGGACTATGGGCTTCATGGATTATATAAAAGATTAGGCCAAAATTTAATTCATTGTACCATCATGATCCTCATAAATAACTAATCCTGAGTGAAATTTATTTGAAACTTTTTTTTTTTCACAACTTTTAACAGTTTGTTTTTAGTTTTAACCCAACTGACTGGTCTATTTTATAGAATTTCATCTTTAATAGATACAATTTTCAGAATCTCCATAATATATAGAACAAAAAAGAACTTTTTCGTATATGAGATGAAAAGCATTAGAGAATGAAGCAGAGCTGAGTAGCAGGCAAGCTTAAACTCTTAAATGCACAAAGCTCGAGCACTTCATGTTGGACAATAGCTTGTTCTATATGCTGAAGTAAATGCATGCAGAAGAAGAAGCTAGCATTGGAGAGTCAAAGAAATCTACTAGACAGGTCCTAGTATTCCTGAACTTGGAAAAGCATGAGATCCTGAACATCAGTATCCAATCATTTCAAAGGCAGAAGAGTAAATTTCAAATGGCAGGGCGCAAGCCCCATAACATGGAGAGATTATTACGTGCAGAGTCTAGATCTAGAAAACCGTTTGGTTGTGTGACTGTGAACAATAAAGTGCAGTTACTATTCACCACTGTGTTTTTACTGTTCATAGTCACACCTTCGCTTTTACTATTCACAGTCACACATGGGATTTTACTTTTCACAGTCACAAAACTGAACGGTTATCTAGATCCAGACTCCACATATAATAATCTCTCCATAACATGGGTGTAAGTATTAAATATAAAATTCATATCCATATAATTCATATTCTAACTTCAAAATTTAATTACAAAAAAAAATACAATAAAATAATATGAAATGCCTTGATGAGCGACCAGTCAGCTTGGGAAACAAAGAACTATTAGGGAACCTTGATGAATTGAGCAGCCGCACAGAGATAAACACCACAAGAGGGAGGCCATCCCTAGTTAGCTTTACGATTTCATAAAACTGGACTCGATAAAACTCGACTCTTTTGAGATTAAAAGACAAGTAATTTTTTCATTCGTATTACTATTATTATTATTTATTTATAATAAGTTAAATTAAATTCTATCATGAGGGGATCACCCAGCTAAAGGGACACAAAAGTGGAATCTCGGGCATGCGGGTGACACCTCAGGTCCTCAGCTCTGGGGAAATTTTAATCCACCTCGCTATGAGATGAGCCAAGGCTAACACCAAGGCCTTTTAAAACATTGGCAGTATCCAAGCAAAAACTGAACAGCAAGATGACTTCTATCTATCGAAATTGGTAAAAATTTCCTCTCAAAAGGTTTTTACTGTTAGTCCCTAACCATATAGGGGAAATAGAGAATATAATTTCATTTCCCTTTTACCATCAATCAATGACCTCAAAACAAACAGGACTAACATATCAGAAGGTCCACTTGAGGCTATCACCGGCCTATATCTCTCCTAGCATGTATCCTCTCCACTTCCATTCTTCTTTTAGCAATCTGATGATCCTGACCACATTCGCATCTCACATTCTAACCGGTAAAAAGCACTGCCCCCACCATCACAAGTTAGTCAGTGGAGGCAACTGCAGATCACCCTATGACCTATCACACTATGGAGAAATTATTCCATGCGGAATCCGGACGGTAAAGAATCGTCCAGATGTGAGTGTACACAGTGTGTACATTGAGTATAATTTTGTATGTATTTTGTTTTTTTTTTATACACAGTGTACAAACACTGTGTACACTCACATCCGGACGATCTTTACCGTCCGGACTCCACACTATGACCCATCACACACTTCCTACAGAATAACATCCTAAAGAAAGAATCACTGGCCTGTAACCCAAAAAAAAGAGGATTTAAAAAAATATTATTTACTTAAGCAAATTTTTTTAACAAACACAGCACAATTAGCTACTTACCAAATGTAATTATTGTAAAAATGAACCAATTTGATTGAAAGTAACTTTAAAAAACAAATTACAAAGTAAAATTTGATTGAGGGAACAAACTAAAGCTTATTGCAAAGGGCAAGTAGCAACAAACCTGACTTTTCCCACTTGTCAAATTTCACAAGCCAAGCATCTGGATGAATCTGAGTAGAAGAAACTCTATCCAGCCATACTCGAAACTGCCTGCCTTTTTTGTCACCATAACATGCAGAAAAGGCATCTATGCATTCATGAAGAGGTCTCTCAACTCCAGAAGGATGAATCAACACACCATTGTGAGACTGCAAATCACATTATATAAAGATGAAATTTGTACTGATGAATTATAGTACCATGATAAACATTTATGAAATCAATATAACAAAAAATCCATAAAAAATGCTAGCCATTGACATATACTATATACTCATACCAACTAGGAGAAATAACTTCAACAGCGCCATGACGGCTATTGCTAAAAGATGATAAAATAACAGAAAATGTGAAGGGTTCATAATAACATACAGTAATCTTCTTCATGATCTCAATAGTAGTAGCAGATTGTTCAACTTCCTCCCGATGCCATCTTTCATACAACAAGTAAAAGAGCACTAATTCATGTCCAGGGTTGAAGTTGTCAAGCTTGCAAGTTGATAGGTTCTCAACATCTCTAGGAGATATATTAGGACCAAGTCCAAAATGGCCTATAGCTTCTATAATCCCAGAAGCACATTTCCCACTTGCATGAATTATCTTAGGATTATCCTTAGCATTTTCTGCATGCCACTTTAATAGTTCCTCTTGAGCATTGTTGACCTAGAAAGTAACATGCCAAATAATTGAACAAAGAAGATAAGGCTAATAAACAACCAAGTTCTACTAACTGAACATAAAAATGAAAAACAAATTTTCTATAATGACTAACCATCACACCATGAACTTCTGGAATGCTAAATAGCTCAGCATCATTGCCAGAATCACCACAAGCTAGAGTGTTGAGTGGTAGTTTCCCATCTTCCTTGAATTTTTTGAGTAAATATGCCAGTGCCTGGCCTTTTCCACCACCTTGTGGTAATATGTCAAGATCTATGCCACCACTGTAAATTATCTTCACATCAAGCTGAACAAGAATGAAGCAAATAAAATGTTACTCTTATATTAGCACTTTCCAGGAGACATATAGTTACAGATTTTATCATTCCAACCAAGAGAAAAAATAGGGCGATTCAATCTTACCCCACGATTTGTCAAGATCTCCTTAAGAGACTTCATCAGTACCTCGGCCTTCTCCTTCTGAACATAAAAGCTAACCTTGTGTGGCCGCTGCTCTGTTTCTGACTGCACCAAGGTCAAAAGTTCCAATAACTTAAATTGGATAGAACAAATTATTACCACATTTAAATTATCAAATGCGTTAACTGTTAATAGTAGGAATCTACTCTATTTATTATTGTTAGAATAACTCAAGCTTGTATTATGAAGAAAATTCAGTAAAAATATAATCCTTTACGAGTCTTTCTCTCCTCTAACACAAATCAAAGTGGACAATCTCCTATGGCTCCTTTACATCAAATGAGAGAGCTGAGTAAACTTCACCTGTAATGAAAGTTGTGGAAATTTAGATGATTCCTCAACAACAATATCACGATTCCATTTCTCATCTAGAAATTTCTCCCAGCCACTATCAGAAACCATCCGTTCACCATAAGTTATTTCTGTACCCACAGACATGATTGTTATATCTGGTGTCAATAACGGTTTCTCTTTCCAAAGCTCCTTGTACAGTGTTGGTGACCTTCCAGTAGAGAAAACAAGTAGAGAGTCATGGCGGTAATTGGATTCCCATAATGCATTGAACCTGAGCAACGATAAGTTCTCCGGATCATGATGATCAACCTATGCAAATGAAGTATACAGCACAAAGAACTTTTCACATCATGAGTAAAATCACAATTAAATTTGTGGAATGAAAACCAAAGGGGAACTTACCATTGTATGGTCAAGATCAGAAACAATCATGAGACGGGCCGGACCAGCAAAACGATCCATCTTCTCACTGCAAAAGAATCAAAGTTCAGCAGTTGGAATCAAGAAGACAAACATTAATCCGTTAGCACCTGAGGATATCAACTAAACAGACTCACACTTGTTCCCAAACGTAAACCTAGAGAAAGAATTGCACTACAAATTACTCAGTTATGTGATTAGTATCCACAAGAAAAACACGACAAAGCCCCCTTTTTTAAGATGCAAGAATTGCGCGTGCAGAGATACAAGTCAATACAGAAAATCCCCAAAGTGAAACAAAACCAACATAGATGTGATTCAGAAATTCCCATCAAAATTCAATTTTTCGGATAGCGTCACTCAGCGCACCAAGAACGAAATTTCATTTAATTCAGACAGAAAGGATCACCACTCCACCTTCCAATTCCTCGTGAGTAAAGGAGTGCCCACGAGTTTCACAGAAAAACCAAACTATAACAGGAAAATAATGACTCAAAAATAAAAACAAAAAGGAAGATTGGAGGAAGCAAAGGAAACGATGAGGCTCAATTACCTCAGGGATGATCTTTGCCGGAAAATTCCTCCCGTCAGGTTTTACGCTAAGCCGACAAGGTTATCAGAAGAAGAAAAGATAAAGCTTTTAGCAATCTATTGAGGGAAGCAGGACGAAGCAATACGCTCCAATTTCGTTCGCGCTCGTTTTGTCCGTGCACCAGTTGGGTATGATTCTTTTGTAATGTGACGAACAAAACCTGGAATATTTCATTGTGATAGGGGTAATTCTGCGATTTCAACTTGCTTGTGGCTCGAGTCTCTTTTTCATCAAACTTTGTTTATAATTGAACTATTTTATATGTATCATTCTTTTTTTTAATGAAGAGCTATAAATTATGAAGGTAAAAAAATTTATAATTTAAATTTACAATATTAAAGATAAAATTACCATATTTAATCAATAAGTCGCAAATCTTTTCGGGACTGTTTGGTTGCCTGCAAAGTAAACGCAGTATAAAGTAAATGCAGTGTAAAGTAAATGTAGTGCATTCTAAATACTTTGAGGTTGTTTGGTTATCTGCAAAGTAAACACAAGATAATTGTTTCCTTTGTTTGATTAGATATATCCAAAGTAAAGTAAAAGCAATGCATTTGTAATATTTTTTGGTCATTATAATTAATGTATTTATAAAATCAGTTATAATTTTTTTTGAAATTATATGATATAATATTTTGTTGTGTATTAATTTAGCAGTATACTGCAATAGACATAAATATATTTGTAATTAAGAGAAATTTTAATTTTAATTTTTTCAAATATAAATTTTCAAAACTTACAAGTTGCCAATAAAAGGAATACAAACTTTGAAAAGCCATCTTATGTAAATATATTTGTAATAGAGAGAGATGTGCTTGTTTTAAGCTTTTAAACCTATCATTATAAATTCATAACATAATCGCACTTCTTATAATTAAAAGTTCTTTGCTTAAGCTCATATCACAGGTTTCTATCAAAAAATATAGAAGCCTATCTCAATTAGTGAGAAAATTCTAATGTTCATAATAATTAAAAAATCGATGAGATGGATCAATCCAAATAAAATAGAAATAAAATCTACTTCCAAAAAGGCCAATAATATTTTATTTTGAACCTTGAAAATTTGAAGTTCTTTCAAAGAAGTAAATGGCATATTATTCCGCTCAAAAGCATTATCAACCCACAACATGACCAACTCCAATTGAGATAATTAGCAGTAATACTATATTCGATGCTGCTCGTGCCTTGCAAGTTTCCAAAATGAAGAAAAAAGGTCAACTTTCAATTAAAACTTATTATGTTCAGGTACCAAGGCAGTTCCCAAGCAAACGATATGTTATTAGATCTTTCTAATGCATTTTAAGTACTGCTGCGTCATGAGCAGAACCTTCCCAACCAGCAAGCACGTATGTGATTCTTAAATCAAAATCTATTGCTGCTAAAACATTTTGTGTTGGGTATGGTTTCCTTCCTCTAAACACAGCTTCGTTCTCTTTTGGAACCCAAGCTTTGATATGAGTTCCATCTATCGCGCCAATACAATCCTATTTTGACACAGTATATTTGGGCTTCTGTAATAAACAAAGAGATTTTCATTGAATAAAAATTGATTATACCTTGAAAAATGGCATAAACCTATTACTTGATTTAATCTTATATGGAGTTTTAGGTGATGGATGCTTGATAAACTCATTGCGTAACTCCCCGACAGCATGTAATGCAGCTTTGAAGTACCTACTAACAGTTTCACCAGAGCGATGAATGTTAAATCAGATAACTCAGTTACGAACACTATGCTCAAGTGTATGTAATAACATAGCAACTTGTTCCTCTATTCAAACAGTCAATGTGTCTAACAACAATCCTCGTGTACGCATTAAATCACATAATTTGAAAAAAGGCGCTCACCTCATGCGTACCATGTGAACACAGTCAGAATCAACTCCATTATATAAACTATAAAGATATGTGTCACGTTGAGGATCATAATTTCTTTTTTCTTTGCGCATCTTCTGCAATAGTACACATAATGTACTAAATGAAAAAATAAGCACTTTCAGGACATCAGTATATTTTTGAATTTCATGGAGTTCAGCGACATCTTTCAATGGCTCGACCATCTTTATAACTAGCCTAATATGTAAGAATAACAAATCTTTAGTAATCAGCATAACATCTATTTAGTAATCAGCCAGTTTGAAAGCATATTCAGTAATCATGGTATGGATCTTACAATTATCTTGACAGCTGAAACCAATTGTTGGATATTACAATTGAAAATGATATTCTGTAAGGATGGTATCCTAATGAAAATACACACTGCACTCAAAAAAAGATCAAAACAAAGAGATCTCATGTAAGATATGATGTTTCAACATCAATTTGTTTATAATTATCAATCAATAAGTTGATATAGATACAGATAAAACTATGTTACAATCTTCAGCTTAAAGGCTATTGTTGACTGTAACGACTACTCACGACACAGTCACTGCAATCGTCGCCTCCCTTCCGATCTCTCACGTTACCGCCCCCGGTCCCACCTCACGACCAAAATCACCGACTAAAGCCCCAAACGGCACAACGATTCGCTCACCGACACACTTAGGACATAAAAAACACTCCTCTCGTTCGGTTAACAGAGACGCACACAGAAATTGGGAGAAAGCCGAAAGAAATCGCAAGAAGAAAAAGCTTCGGGACTTACCTCTTCGAAGGCGACATCTCTTCCGATCTTGATCTCGGCTTCAGTCGAAGATTCTCTAACCTCAAACGAACAAGACCCAAGCCGTATACGACCTCCAACCAGCCTCCACCTGCTCCGAATCCGACGACTCTCCGACTCACCAGAGCCGAACCCGTCGTGCTCCCGCCCGAGTCGACGCCGCCGAACCAGCCACCGCCTGCTGAGGCCGAACCTGCCTCCGCCGCCCCTTCCCGCCGGCGACTCAAGCGTCCGACTCCAACCCGCCGACCTGTCGCCGCTCCGACGCCGATCCCGGCCTCCCGTGCGTGATTTCCTTCGGCCCTAGCCCGATCGGGAGGCTCTTCCTGATTCCTCTTTATATGTATATTATATGTAATTATATATATAATATTATAATATACATATAATATTATATATTATAATATATTATCGCATAATTCATATACATAACTATACCCCGCAACCGTTTGTCGGGGATGATAAATTTGAAATTAACCTCAGCTCACAAAGAGCGAATGCATGTCGGGTGTATCACTACGATTCATCCTCAAACAGTCTCTTGCCAACAGGGACGTGGCACGTGCCCTCTGATCGGGTGGTTTTGCCGCAAAATGGCACCATTATATTACGATCACGGCCAAAGCCCGTATGTTCCCTAAAGGCGTTAAACCCTTGAGTTATGAATCTAGGGTATATCTGATAGGCATAAAGCCTTCTGTTAGCTAAGGTGGATTCAGATCTATCCCCTTAGACAAACATCAACTCAGGTCTACAAGGTATTCTTGGACGAAGCAACCCATGGCTGCCGACAAGGTGCCTTCTGTCAGGTTGGGTCGACTACCTCCTCTGACTAAGTAGACCAGGGATCATGACAGCCCGGGACGACGGAACCATGGGATCTTGATCGGGCTCGTCTTCATTCCCCTCACCACCAGTTTTAAGTTTATGGTGATGAAACTTCTAAATTCCAAATTTGAAATTTCTAAATTCAAAATTTAAACCCAAAAATTATTGCTATTATACGATATGTTCATTACCTATGTGAACGCTTGAACGACTAGCCTTAATCGAAAGTTCTCTCTTGTTATCAAGAGGGGTAATTAACTATAGGGGCTTGCGCCTATAGGAAACCAGAACTCAGATCAAAAAGTCCTCACCAAATGAGGGCGAAATCTCTGGGTAGTGTCTTATCTAAAACCCAATCTGCCTTCTGAAAATTCCCCCGGGATCACATCCTAAAATTGGAATTTTTCGGAGCCCACAGCTATAAATTATTTTTTACTAAAAACGAGTGCTCATAATAGTAATTAGAAAAGCTTTTCGGAAAAACAGCCAAATGCAAATATAGTTCATTTCTTTAATAACTCATCAACAATAGGCAAAAAGAAGACCTGAGATCTTCAGCTCAACTCCAAATAAATTTCGGAGCACTAAACTGCAGCTCATTCTTCATGTTGATTAATTGTTGGAATTTGCTTATTAGTTCATTCAAAATTTTATTTTATTTTTTTATTTGTTTGTTGCTTCTATTCAACTTATTAATCCCAAACGTTTGTTAAATATTGCTGGAAACAACATCATATGAAAGCTAAAAGTAAATGGAAAGCTAAAAGTAAATGGAAGACTTGTTCTTTATTTGATTGGAATAATTGGTCTGTTTTGAAGTGCTACGCTTTTGAAGATTACTAACAATTTCTAAATTGTGCATTTAGAGGATGAAAAAGTAATGTGACAATTGTTCTCCACAAAATATCCAAAAGAAATCAGATACTGGACTATTGAGGAACAAGATATATGGATTAAAGATGTAATTTTTTGAACTGTATATGACCTAGACCACAAATTGGAAGAGGTTTCCCTGACTTAGCTTAGTGAACTTTTAGAATTGCCATGGTAACGAAGTACAAATAAAAATTTGTGCAGGAGTGATCACAAGCTAAGATAAATTTAAGTTGTCACTTGTGGAAGATGAGAGAGATGCTTCAGCAGAACTAAAATAGGTGTGACCATCCTTAGTTCCTTTTGATTCAAGTCTCCGTCAGCATTTAGTGATTAAGTCACCTTCCTTCCTGCAGAATCTGCAATATTTCGGATTACAGGCACCGCCAATATGGCCTTCCTTTTTTGCATGTATAAAATACATTTTGTCTCCCCTTCATTCTAATTTGTAAAAGAAGCTTCAAACTGTAAAATATGTCAAAGAGAGGTAGCTTCTAAAGGTAGATATTCCAAACAACACTTCCATTATTGGCGGGTATACAACTGGACTAGGCGTTGAAAGAATACAAGTAAAAGTCCATAATTTTAGCACCATGTCCATTCATCATTTCAGAGAACAGTGAGATTGAAATCTCATAGTAAAAAGAGAGATACCAGATAATCACAAGGAAGTGCTTTGAAAAAAAAAATCCAAAAATTTCAAAGAAAAGTACTTGCGTAACAGGATTCGCAGTATGCCCTCTCTAAATTTCCAAAAATATTACCGATCGGTAAAGAAAAAACTTCATCGTCTTCCTGCATACACACAGGAACGAAGGATAGAAAAAATTCTAAAGCGTATCACTAGGCCTCGCATCTCCAAATCCTTTGGATTAGATGGATTTTAATAAGATCAATCAAAACTGATTCAATTCAGCAAATAATTCAAGAGGATAGAGGAACAATTAGGTAAATATAAGCTTCAATCCCCTTACGTTGAAATTAAATGAAATACCTGGTGCCGAGGAGGGCGGATAGGTGAACGAAGGAAGCAAGAGGAGTCGGTAAAGGCGACGAAGAGATGAACACGACTTGGCCTGGTTCACGAACAGGTAACGGCGACAAAGGGTTGGGGTAGTTAGATCTCTGGCTGCGGCGAATGGAGGCGGCGAAACGGGGATTCGCCTCTTCTGGTCGTGTGAATCGGGTGAGCTGTGAGAGGCGTCTTCTTCGGCTTCTAGAGGGAGACAGCAACTGTTGGGGATTTCGGACTAGAGAGCCAGGGGAGAGAGTGGGAAGAACGGAGAAGAAGAGGGAACTTATAAGCTCAGCTTCCGTGACACCATTAAGCGGCTTTCGAAGTCGCGGGATTGGCATCCGCTGGACTAATGCTTCAAATGACTTCCTTTTATTCCGCTCAAAAATAATCAAATATCTATAGGTAATTACATTACTTTATCCTACTAATCATGCAAATCAAACAACCCCATAAATTTGAAAAGCTTTTAGAAGCGAGCAACAACACAACTGGAATAGACAAAACAATCTGCGGACTCAGTAAATGGCAAGATGCTCCCTACACCAACCCGCAACCAGGCAAGGACCATCCAATAACGGCAGCAACCCACAAAACACAAGCAACATCCCACGAGCCAAACAGGCAACCGCCGAGCATGAAAACATGACCACCAAGGTTGCGAACAAGCCAAGGCCAACAAGGTGGTGAAAACAGAGTGGCCTCATCATCATCTAGAATACCAATTAATTCTACACAATTGAATCGCACAACATCGAAAGAGAGGGGGTCAACCAAGATAAAATTTTCTTCTTAGTTTTACTTCTATGCCTTTTGCCACCGCCACGTGATTCTGCTTGATCAATAACGCATCCCACCATGAAATTATACATATCATGAGACTTTTGTACATGCTCACCGAAAATCGTCATTCAGCTTGATCCAAACTTGAGTTATTCAACGACATAGGCATATGGGCTTTCAAATCCTCATTAGGCATAACTGAAATTGGAATATCAATAAAAGCTACCTTTTCCTTCGATACATCAATAATAGTAGAAAAGGCTAGCTCTAATGAAGTCAACAATGAGTCAAGAGAAGATGACGACTCATTCAAAATAACCTTATTAACATCACATACATCGAATTTGAGGCCATCTCCAACTGGACAAGAAACATGAGCGATTTCAACATTCACAATTGTATTAGCATCAGAGTTACTAACATCAATGGAAGGCACATCCATTCCAATAGCAACGAGAGACGGGTTTATAGGGATTAAGAATAACATAAGCATCTTGAAACTTCACATCAGCCTCCTCCTCAACAACAACAACATGCGCATCATAAAGAGAAAACTCAATAGAAGGGATTATTGCCTATTGATTAGCATCTAAAAAAACATTAATCTGAATCATTTCTTGCACGGGAATGACCAATTCCAATGAAGGATTAACATCATCATGTACCACATTTCCCAAATGACCCTCATCACCAAAACCCTCTATTTCATGTACTGGTAGACCAACATTGCCATGAGAATCTCTAGCACCCACATTAGCCCTTAAATGAGGATGAAGAGAGAATTTCTTTTCTAGTAAGACCTAAAGTGTTGCAATGATCACAAAATGAAGGAGATTCATCCATCAACACAGGTTGAACATAACCAAAATTTTCAAGACCCAACCACACCTTATCATGATACGGTTTTGTAATATCAAGTTCAACCAAAACTCTAGCAACTAATGGTCGAGATCTCACTGTCATAGCATTATCATTTTGAAGTGGTCGTCCAAAAAGAGCCACGAGACCATGTAGAATTCGGAGAGAGCAGAAATGCGGATGCAAATTTAGGAAGAAGACCCAAAGTGGGACAATGGGGGATTCTTCAGAATAGGTTCTTAAGATAAGATTAATGTGGATGTTGAAAGAGGGATAAGAAATAGGGATTTGAAGATAAAGCCGCCTAAGATCTTAAATATTTATGAATCGGGAGTAATTTAAAGGTTTCATATATAATTTAGTATCCTAAACTCTTTATTATATTAATCTAAATCCATATCTCATAATTACTTTTGACTAAATGTATGATTTGTCCAAATAAAATATTTTATTAAAAAACTATACTTAAAATGAAGGGAATTTTTTCCATTCTCTCTTTCTATTTTCTATTTTCTATTTTCTGCCCACTGATGTTTGTTTTTCTAGAATGCCTTTGTTGAATATTCATGCTACAATCCTTCTTTAGCTATAAAGGTTATGAAAAAAGTTTTTTTTTTTAAAGCTACAGAAGGAAATAACTTCTTAGCACAATTTTTTCAGAACAATAAAAAATAATAATCCGATAAAAATTATAATTATCATCAAATAAAATAATAAGAATATTATCTCAAACAAAACCTTACCTCAGCCTCTTCTTATTATAGTTCCTGATTTTTTTATGAGCTTTTTCTAGTGTTTTATATTTTCTCTATTAAAAACGGTTTGATAAGTTCTATTGCTGCGGGTTGTTCTGAGCATTGTCTGCAGCACCTCTCAATTTGGCACTTTGTTTTACTACCAATATTCTATTTAAAGAAAGTCATCTTATCTCTTTGATAAAAATATTATCTGTCAAGAGAGAGAGAGAGAGAGAGAGAGAGAGAGAGAGATCATCATATATTTTAAAACAATTTTAGGCTTTTATGCTGGACATATTCTAAGATGCTCTCATGTCACCAAATGTGTGTATTGTTTGTTATATATGCATGCACAAAAAATACATACGAATTGCATAATTTTCAAACGCCATAAATGTTGAGAAAAAAAATAAGAGAATATCATGAGATGGGTAAGATGATAAAGTAAACAAAGGTGAAAAAAAAAAGAGAGGAAAAGCTTCTAGAATGAGAACATATTACTACAACTGAGATCCTGAGTATAACACTGTTTCCAGCGCAAACATGAATATACTGTACAGCCCACAAAATTGGAGAGATTATTCTGTGCGGAGACAACACTGTCCGGAGACCAACTATATACACCACGTCAGTAGTACTGAGCGGTACCGAGAAATACCAAGCACAGGGATGACATGACGCATTCTGATTGGTCTCTTGACAGCGTTCGTATCCGCACAAAATAATTAATCACAAAATTATGATGAGGGTAGAGATAGGGAAAAAATAATTAATGGGTATTAATTTTTTAATTAGAGTTATTATGCTATCTTAATATTTTTAACGGGTTATAATAAAACCTCTTATGAAGGAGAAATTATTAGGTTCGGACATCAAACAGAGAGAATCATCCGAATTTCTCTTTCTCTATAATAAAAGCGTAGTCAAAGTGCAGTTACTATAGCAGCTGTGCTCTACTGTAGCAGATACGCTTTAACTGCACTTTGACTGCGCTTTTACTGTAGACAAAGAGAAATCCGGATAATTCTCTCCGTCCGGTATCCGCAACTAATAATTTGAGATAGGGCATTGAAAACAAGATGTAAAACTCCAGCACCTCTTTGTCGAAATTAAGGGCACCCTGTATTGCCCAAAATATTAAGATCCAAAAAGAGGATTTAGGCTTCACATCTTATTTTTGATGCCCTACCTTCTCTTAAGAGGAAGAGATAAGACATCGAGAACAAGATGTGAAACTCCAACCACTCATTGCCAAAACTATCTAAAGCTCCAAGAAGAGGATTTAGATTTCACATCTTGTTTTCAATGCCCCAACTCCTCTTAAGAGGCATATTTATAGCCTACAAGAAACATTAAGATAGCCAAATAATCATAATTAACAAACTAATACTCACTAAATGCGTATCAGATTATTTATTCCCTATCAGGTGGTCTCCTCTACACATCTATATTCCTATATCTCCTTCCAGATCCTTCCTGTAACTCTCAGTTTCAACTCTTTCTGGTCGCCGCCTGAGAAGTAGAGGGCAAGGCTCCTCTGCACAATGAGCCCATCATAACTGTCGCGGACCGTCTTATGGTGAGTCCGGATGCTCCGCGGCACACCCTGATACGTCATTTTCCGACCGTTGCCTCCTACCTCAAGGCAATACCCAAACTTTCTCGCTTCTTCTTCATCCCCCAAGAATCTGAGGAAGGCCATGTAAACTGGTTGAGATCCTAGCGGGAAAGCTTCAAAGTGCAGACAGAAGTACTGGCCAAAGCAGCTGAAAAGCTGAAAGCCAAAACATAAATCAGCAACTGATTGATGCCTATAATTAACTTCGAGGATATTTTAGACTAAGGCTTCGTTTAAGACAGCTTTTTTAGAAACAGTAATAAAGTTGTCCCAAACGAAATTTAACTTACAGTTAGTGTCCATGTAACATTTTCAACTGAACATGGGTCTTGTTTCACATAGCGATGATTAAAGGTGCAGCCATTTTGCAGGTCCACCTCATGACTATCCCTCAAATGTGACAAAAGAGATGAAATGCCTCCTGTGAAGAGGCAGTTCTGGCCTGGATGAGGACATGAATAAGGCCTATATGAGCATTGTGATTCATGCACAACCTTACTATAATAAGGAAACATTTGTTCACATCCCAGCTGATGGTAGGTACATGGCAAGCACAGAGAAACTGCAAGTTTCTCCAGAGCTAAGCATCTTATGTTGCCAATATCCTTTCTGCAAATAGGGCACTTATTATTCACTCTGCTTTTGCAGGCAGAACACAAGGTGTGGCCACTAGGACACTGCAATTATACCAAGAAAAGAGCCATCATTAAGAAACTTAAAAAGAAAATAATATAAATGAAAAATCTATGAGGTAAAAAATAGATAGTTTTGAAGCCATTTAATGTATATAGCTGAGGTCAATCTGTTGTCGTGCAGAGACAGCTCATATTGGCCTGTTGGTTGAGAGCTTAGGCTTCCAACTAATAGGTCTTGAGTTCGAGTCTTTGTGTATGCGTTGTGTGTTTGAGTTTGCCTTAAATGACCTAAATGTCTTTTTATTCTCCCTTTATTTCAGGTGATTAAAAATATCTATAAATGAGCAAATCAAGAAAGTAAAACAAAAAGTGAGCAATTAAATAAAAAGAAATTTAATCATTTTCCCATAATTTTTCTCCATGTTGCTGGTGAATTTTGGCCCATTTACTCAAATACTTCTCTAAAGTCTTAGTTCTGTTTACTTAGAGGAAAACTAAGAGATGGCGGCATATAATTGAACTCAATAGCTTTAATTAGTTTATGTGACTAAAATAAAGTTTTTAAAAATAATGAAAACAGAAAAGAAAATCTACAGAACCAAAAATTAGGTTGATTGCTTTAATAATGTTATATGTACCAAAAAAGTTATATGCATGTATGACTAATGATATTAACAGTTCAACGTTTTACTTCAGCCTATTGAGACTTCCAGATGTGACAACAAGAGAATCAAATAAAATTGATGTTTGGAAAATATATAACAAAATAAAACTCAGGGTTTGGAAAATATACAAACCTGTTGGATTGGTGGAAACATCGAATTGCTGCAAATTGGACACTCCAATAGATCATCAATACTATCATTATGAACTAGAATGTTCATTTTGGCATGCATCGCATTAGACTCCAAACTAGCCTCTCCGGAGGCTTCTGATGTGCATATAGACTCCGAAGGTGCAGAAGGAGAGCACGATTCATCCAATTTCTTCGACTTTATAGCAGATGATGATCCCGTGTTTGCCTGCTTCTTTCCCAGCTTGAGATAGGTCATATTTCACAAGAGTGAGATGACACTTCAGTTTTAATTCTATCCAAAACAACACTGCTGAAGTTGATCTGTTATGAAAAGCTCAAAGGCCTACAATTCTGTGCAATGAATATGGCCCATAAGTGCATTATACGTACAGAGAAACATAACATAATAAATGAACAATGACTGCAACTTGAGCTTATAAGAAATGAGAAGGAAACAGAGTGTGCCAAAAAAGAGTGAACTAAAGTTCAAACGGCATGCATGCGGGTCATCTCATACTGATGTGGGGCAGTAATCTTTGGATCGTTGGAAGAAGAGGATGAAAGAAGGGATTTCCCAATCCATGGAACAAAGACAAACAACAAGCTTCTAAAGTTTCAAATAATATTTTATCAATGTGTCACATTCCTCTTACACATTCCATATATATAATACTCAAGTAGGGAAAACCTAGATAATCCTAGAAGATTCTAGAAAATTTGTAACAACTTTTAACAAACTAAATAAAATAACCTAAGGAACATTCTAAGTTAAAATACTCCGCATCACATACTCAAAAAACCATGAGATGAATCGGGAGCCGTAATGTTAAGAGAAATATATATTTGACTTCTAACAAGAAATGCTAAAAAAAGCAATTTTGCTAGCTATAAACCATGTTGTGAAAAACCAACCATGATGCCAAAAGCCTAAAGAGAAGCTTGAACATAAATTTTATATGCCAAATAATTTTATAATTATGTACTGAAAAAACTGCCGCATAAGATAGCAACCCTTGGTCCAATGGACGATAAATCAAATTTAAACATATTCAACATTCATTAGGCTGTCAGGATATACTGATTTGGAATATTAGAAGGCCCAGAACATGATATCGTATTGTTTTTTTTTTCAACATTCAATACTTCAAAATAAATTTTCGATAGGCATATTAAAAAAAAAACAAGAACATATAAGAAAATGCTTTTACTTGCAACATATCAATTATGCCATAGAATAAAAGAGACCAACAGGAAGAACAATTTAACAAGATTATGGATTTGGATTGATATGGTCCATCGGATGTACTTAATTGTTAATTTAGCCCAAATATTCTGAATTGCATTTTTTGGGTTGAGATAACATAATATGCTAGAAACATCAACAAACAGATAACTAATGCAGATAATCTTTTAAGAGAATTGATTGATCAAACATGAAATGGCATTAGAATAGTGGAAGTGTGGTGCCTAGATTTGCTAAAATTGAAAAGCACATAGGAGAGCAAATGGATGCAATCATATAATATAAAATATACATGGATCCAATTTTTTTTTTAAGTTGAGATCCACGAATATAATGTAAAACCTAGTGAATATATTACATTCTCAGGGAAATTCCTTGAAGAAAAATTTTCATCTGCATGGAAGGATGGGTTGGGGTTTGTCCCTTCAGAGGATGGTCACTTTGGACAACCAGAACACCTAACTAGATTAAACTTTTAAGCTCACACTTCAACCAAATAAGCCACTCACAGAACATTGAAAAAAAATTACAAACACAACATAAACATAGGTTTAGGACCAAAATTTCAGGTCAACACCTCTGTCCGAGGAGAGACAATTACAAGAATGCTGAACGAATAAAAAAAATGAGGCTTGCTGAGCTTTGTTTGGGACGACTTTCTTACTGCTTCTTAAAGCAGCTTTCTAGTACAAAAACTTTAATTTTTATACTAAAAAACTGCTTTAAGAAGCACTAAAAAAAACCGTCCCAAACGAAACCTAAGTTTGAAAATTTATAAAAGTTTACATGAGACAGTCAAACACATGTCATGGGGCCTGAAGCTTTGTGCCCATAAGTTGGGTTCAGTTAAAACTCATATTGTTCTACATGTGCTTTGGAATGCTGACACTCAGATAATACAAAATAGAACAAACCAAATTACTAATTGAAAGAAGTACAAAATTCGTGATTGGGGTAGACCAGATGATCTTCATCAATCATGAGACAGGGTCCTCAGAAATCAGTTTGGTTCAAACTTCAAACAACCAAATGATCTATTAAAGACAAAAATGTGGTCCCATAATACAAAATTAAACACTCATATACGCAGTTCAATTTGTCATATGTAAAAAGTATTAAAATGTAACAAAATACGGTATTCCATAAACTGTGAAAATCATAAAAAACGTAGAAGCAGGCACGCAAGGTCTCTCCAATTGAAGCAAAAGCGTTTGAGAACTAAGATACAAAATAATGTTATAAAATAATAAATCCAGAGTACAATGCTAGTTTAGTACCAGAAAGGGCCGGATTCTCCCAAATCTTCAATCCTCTGTCCGCAAAAGCCAAAAGAAGAACTTAAGCATCAAATCTCTCATCGGCTCGGTAACAGTTATAAAACCAAATACAAAATCACCCAGTGCTACCATAATTCAAACGCCCAAACACAGAGACCAAGGGGGAAGACACACCAACAGAAGTGAAAACACCAAACAAACAACATAAATATACCAATTATCATCTCCATTCCTCAACTAGTTATGAAGCTCTATAGTCTCTACTAAGCCATTAAATAATTCTGTTTGCAGCAGTTCACCCATATGCAAAACCAACAAGGAGTCACAGACATAAGATAAGATTCAGCAGTAAAGAAATCAATCCTTGACAAAGCAAGCATAAATGCAGATTAACAAAAGGAAAAAAAACAACACATCAAGAGGGTACTACAAAGCAAACAAGAACTTCCAGCACAACACCAATACAAACACAAAGATTAACACAACCACATTTAACCAATAAAAAAAAGCCCTAGATCGGAAAGAAACAATCAAGAAGTTGCATGAGCTGAGCAGATCGAAACTCTATCCGATCAAATTGAAGTAACCCTAAACCGATTCAACAGGACAGAAATGAACTTATACCTTTCGATCCGTAACAAGAACGAGGATAACTGTTATCTCTTCCTTCTCCTCCTTTTGAATCGCAATGCTTACGAGTTCGCAAATCTATCTTTACGTCTTGAAAGCGGCGAGAGCTGAGACGGAAATGCGGATGAACGCTTGAGGGTAAATAATTTCGAGTCGGAGATTCCAAAACGGTTTTATTTTGTGCAGAAAAAATCCCCGCGTTTATTAAATCATTCACACGAATCGCAAAGCACGATGTACGACGATCCAGCATTTTCCACCGTAGTAAATTGGTAAATTTTCCCAAAGCACCGAAAGTTACTTTGCCGAATTCAAATCCGAGATTTCGGGAATGATGAGTTATAATTTAACGGTAATTAACTACGAGTAGCATTAGTTAGTTAATGAGAGTAGGCTGGCACGGCGATACGTGGCAGTTTGAATATTAAAGTAAATTACTCTTTTACCCTGAAATTAAATGCAAGTTTGCTAATTTTGTTTTTCGTCGTTTGCAGGTTGAACACAAAAACTGAATGAGGAAGCTGATAAAAGCATAACAACAACATCAAGACTTTATCCCACTATGTGGGATCGGCTACATGAATCCTTTTTCTCCATTGTATCTTATTAAAAGTCAAATTCTCATTTAAATCTAATAAAAAAAGATCATTCCTAATATTTTCTAACCAAGTCTTTTTAGGCCGCCGTTTTATGTGACCAAACCATCTAAGGCGACTCTCTCTAATCTTATCTTCTACTGGAGCTACTCCAACCTTTTCACGTATATGCTCATTTCGTATCCTATCTCTAAGGATAAAGCCACTCATCCACCTAAGCATCCTCATCTCTGCCACACTTAACTTAGTATTATGCTTCTCTTTTAATGAACAACATTCGGCACCATAAAGCATTGCAGACTTCACTACTATCTTATAGAACTTTCCCTTAAGTTTGAGGGGTACATTTCTATCACATAAAAAGCCCGATGCATTCCTCCACTTCAACCATCCAACTTGAATTCTGCTGATAATATCCCCATCTATTTCACCATCACTTTGAACAATAGATCCAAGATATCTAAAACGTGTACTCTTATTAATGACTTGATCGCCCAAAGTCACAATCCCATCACTAGGTCTATTACTACTAAAATTACACTCCATATATTCCGTTTTAGATCTACTCAAGCGAAAACCTTTAGACTCTATGGTTGACCTTCATAATTCAAGTTTACCTCAACTCCCTCTCTAGTCTTATCAATAAGAAGAATATCATCAGCAAAAAGCATACACCAAGGTACATCTTCTTGCAAATGTCTAGTGAGAACATCAATGACTAAAGCAAAAAGATATGGGCTTAAAGCTGATCCTTGATGTAACCAAACCGAAATAGGGAAATACTTGGTCAATCCACCTTGTGTTTGAACACAAGTAATAGCTCCTGCATACATATCTTTAATGATTTGAATATAAGAATTATTGACTCCTTTCTTTTCAAGAACTCTCCATAGCACTTCTCTTGGAACTTTATCATATGCTTTTTCTAAATCAATAAATATCATATGTAGATCCTCCTTATTTTCTCTATATTTCTCCATCAAACCTCTTAATAAATGTATGGCTTCCATAGTCAACCTACCCGGCATGAATCCAAATTGATTTTGAGAAACATTAGTATCACGCCGCAACCTATGCTCCAAAACTCGCTCCCATAGTTTTAAAGTATGACACATTAACTTAATACCTCTATAATTCGCACAATCTTGTACATCACCTTTATTCTTAAAAATAGGAATTAACACACTCATTCTCCACTCATCTGGCATCTTCTTAGTCTTCAAAATAGTATTAAAAAGTTTAGTAAGCCATGAAATTCCTTCATCTCCTAAGCATTTCCACACCTCTATTGGAATATCATCAGGTCCAACAGCTTTTCCACCCTTCATTCTATTTAAAGCCTCTCTAACTTCAGTTTTACTAATACGCCGATAAAAATAAAAATCTTTATTTTCATTTAGGGTGCTAAGGTCACTACAGTCAATCTTATTTTCACAATCTTCATTAAAAAGTTTAGCAAAATATCTCATCCATCTTTGTTGAATATCATCTTCTAAGAAAAGTATTTTTTGATCTTCATCTTTAATACACTTCACTTGAACTAAATCCTTACTACTCCTATCTCTTTGTTTGGCTAACTTATATATATATCTTTCTCCCTCTTTAGTATCTAATCTATTATATAAATCACTAAAAGCTAATGCCTTTGCATCGCATATTGCTTTCTTAGCATCCTTACGAGCCACTTTATATATTTCCCAATTATCAGAATTTTTAAAATTAAACCAATTTTTATAACAAAGCTTCTTATTTTTAATTTTTTCTTGCACATTAGGATTCCACCACCAACTATTTTTACTATTGGGAGCTTTTCCCTTTGATACTACCAAACACAGTTATGATAAAATGATGTTATGTAGGATCAATGAATAAGGCAAGAGAGCTTTGGGTTATAACACCTTTCTTTTAGTTACAAGAAACCTGATATCCAAAGCCAAATTTCATATAATAGATTCCCGAGCATCCTTTATTGCTCTTTCAGGTAGACCATGTATTAAATAATCATGTGAGGAGAAAGAATATTATATTAAGGTTACTTGCTGGCGTTTTCAATTCATGAAGTTACTATGTATAAAGATGCTTCATACTATATACCTAAAAAGTAGATTATCTTCTCTAAGAATCTCAAACTGGCTGAAGAAGTAAGCATAAAGGAGTTCCTAGCATGGATGCAATTCTTGCAACATTGACTTCATCCAAGTATATCAATGGAAGGTGTGGCATTCTAACCCAAATTAGGGAAGTTAATCCTTTCAAGGAATTTGGTTAAAATTGAGAAGACCACTTATCAATACCTACCACATGTCCCTTAACATACCAAGGACCTCCATCTAATATATTATCCACAGCTTCAATAGAAGAGAATGAGCACAAAACCCATCCTAACGAAAGAGAAGTTAGGTTGAATTTACCAAAATGAAGCCACTGTCTATGAAGTTCTTCAGCCATCAACTATAGAGGGATATCACTTTCAAAAATTTTAACCATAATAGAATATTTGACTGTCTCTTAATTCGCCATCACTCCAGGCTCAAATAGCTTAACAGCTATACCATCTTCCGACAGGAAATATTTTTCTTTTGAAAAATTAATTTTAATATTTGGTCTCTTCGCCTGTGGATTTCTAGCTACCTTGTCTACAAGTAGTTCCTTAACAGGATTAACATTTAAAACTCTCTCTTAAACATTTCCATAAATATTAGAAGGCTTAACTGAAGGAGAATTTTAAACATTTCCATAAATATTAGAAGGCTTAACTGAAGGAGAATTTTAAACATTTATTTTAATTAAAAAAAATAAAAATTATAATTATTCGAACTATCTTTAAAAATAAAATTAAAAATTAAAAAAATAAAATTGATCCCAACAAAGCTCTCTAAGTTTATTTTTTGTGTTTTTTAATTAAATATATTTAGTGTTAACGTATAAATTCAATATATGAATAATTTAATTTTAGCGAAATAATAATAATGAAATTTAAAATTCTCATCAACTTAAGCTTAGTTGGAACAATTTTTTGTCATTAATTTTTTTATTACTTTACATATAATTTCATACTAATAATTCAATTATATTAAAAATAAAAAAAATAAATTCATTATATCCAACATTTTAGAAATTATCGACAAATTTAAATAATAAGAATGATGATTATACAAAATATATTTTGATTTATTGTCAGTTAATGCGTTCCAGGTGGATTAACACTGAAGAGGCGGCTTTAAACCATATTTTTAACGGAGTTATTAGCTCTTAATCACAATTAAAATTAGATATTAGTCTTAAATGAGAAAATAGATTCCAACCAACACGGCACCTCAATTTAATTGTGCTAGACTTTAATCACTCATTCTCAACTACCATTAGAAATTATAAGCAGTTAATTAATTAAATAATTACTTGGCACCTGCTGGCTGCTGCTATTTGTTCTTATATCTATTTTGGAACGCTGGCATTTAACCGAATTGACTGGAAACTGCTACGGGTCCTTCACAGTTTTTGACCGTAAATTTGTCCAAGCTCACATTTTTTTTTTCAATTTTCTGTAAAACTACTAAACTACCCTTTCGTCTGTTTTTAGTATTTTTTAGTAATTCTGCTTTTATTAAAAATAATCAAATTTTAATTAAAGTAATTTAAATAAAAAGGGGATTTACAAGTATAGCATCTAAAATATTATGATTTTAATATCTAAATTTTATTAGGTATGTCATCTCATCGAACTCATGGTTTGATTTGCTTATGTCCTTGCACGAGTTCGAGCTCACTAGACGCATTGCTTGGACCCAATAATGGCCTGATGCCCTCGCCCATGCGCTTTGCAAGATTTCATTGGTATTAGTGTTGTCAATATATTTTAGCATCGATGCCTTTGCTTATGAGCTATCATGAAAGATAAGGAGAGATGGGACGAGAGGGAATATTTATTGAGGTGAAGGAATAGTTACGAGAAATATAATCAAGTTTTCATGACAATATGAAAAATCACATATTCTCAAACTACCAAACATATTTTTTCTAAATAAAACATGATACCGAACTACTCAAGAAATCGTAAGGGAAAAAAAGAAGAAGCTAGAAACAATCAGATTGTCTTAGGCTTTGTTTGGGACATCTTTCACGTTGTTTTCTAAAGCAGTTTTTTAGTTCAAAAAATTTTGAATTATAAATTTTGTGTTAGAATACTACTTAAAAAATATTAAAAAAGCTATCCCAAATGAGGCCTTAATTATTTATTTGAAGACCCTTAGTTGGTTATGGATTAAAATATTATTTAGAGAAGGATGTGAAAAATAAAAATAAAATTATTATAAATAAAAAGGATTAAATATAATCTAATTTTAAATAACAATAAAAATATTTTATATCAACATAAATTTCAAAATAGTTAAATTTATTTTAAAATTCATGTAATATATATTCTATTTTCCTCCAAATAAATCAATTTTTTTAGTAAAATTTAATACAAAATTTTGCCAAGAATTTTTTGTGGATATTTAATTGAAAAAGTAAAATTAAAAATTTATTTGGGACAATTTTCTTATTAATGTCTAAATCAGTTTTTTAATATAAAAATTTCTAAATAAAAAAATTTTGATATTAAAAAGTTATTTTAGAAAACCCTCAAAAAGTTGTTCCAAAAAAAGCCTCAAAGCAAATTTAATAATTTTGAAAAATTTTCAATACAAAATAAATTGAATAATATCAAAATTCAACCTTAATAAAAATTGGATGAACTAATTTTTTGTCTATTTAATTACTATATTTGATCTTCATTACCTGTAATTGTCTTCCCATTGCCTCCTCAGGAATTGCAGAATCTCCATACTGTAACAGACTTATCTCTATCCAGATAGAGATAGAGAGAGATAAAGGAGAGAGAATCTGAGAGAAGAGAGAGTGAGTTATGGAATTAAATAAGTTGTAGGATCAACATACGTGGTATTTAAGAAGAAGGGATTCGAAGGATAATGGGCGAGTGGGGCCCGAAGACGGTTTATTACCGTCCTACGTGACGCATGGGATGTGGTCGCCGGCT